GCTCATTCCGGGGCTCTCTGTCGGCAGTGACGGCCCCACAGTTGAGTTCGGTGGCCATCAGGGGTGCCATCGAGAGGGCCGGCATCGCACCCGAAAACGTGGACGAAGTGATCTACGGTCACGTACTTAGCGCAGGCGTTGGTCACGTGACGAGTATTCAGGCGTCTATAGGAGCCGGTCTGCCGGCGAGCACCGCCTCCACTGTTATAAACAAGGCGTGCGCCTCAGGCATGAAAGCTATTATGTTGGCCGCGACGTCTATACGGTTGGGCGACAGTGATGTGGTGGTGGCCGGGGGTATGGAATCCATGTCCAACACACCATATCTACTGCCGCGCGGAGAGTTGCCATACGGGGGCGCGACTCTCAAAGATGGTCTACTCGTGGACGCCTTAGACGACCCCTTCACCGGCAAACACGTGGGCTATTTGGCCGATAAGGAGGCCGTCAAACAAAGCATAACCCGCGCCGATCAGGACGAGTACGCGGCCAACAGTTACCGACGCAGCGCTCGGGCGGCCGTCGACGGCCTATTGGCCAAAGAGATAGTGCCGGTGACTGTCGCCGGAAAACGTGGTAAACCAAGCGTTACGGTCACCGACGACGAGGAATATAAGAAAATAAATATCGATCGCATGCCATCGTTAGAGCCGGTGTTTGTGAAGGACGGCACCGGAACCGTTACGGCTGCCAACGCGAGCAGCCTTAACGACGGCGCCGCCGCCACTGTACTCATGTCCGGTGCGGCTGTCAAGAAGTTTGGTGTCACACCGTTGGCCAAAGTGGTGGCGTACGCCGATGCGGGTGTAGAACCGGACGGCTTTGCCAGAGCCCCGGTCTATGCCATACTCGAAGTATGTCTAAAACAATTTAACGCAATATAATGTTTAATACTATAACTCTTTAACTAAAACCCATTGATTGTTACGGCACAGGTGTTGGCGAAGGCAGGTCTGGACAAGTCTGAGATCGCGCACTGGGAGATCAATGAGGCGTTTAGTAACGTTCCCTTAATTTGCATTAAACTCTTGGGTTTAGACCCCGAAAGGGTGAACCCGAATGGCGGCGCCGTATCTCTTGGCCTTGATTTTGATTTTGATTTTTGAAATTGATTTTGATTTTTAAATAATTTATTAATTGCAAAACATATTTATAAATTCAAAATGTCTTGTTTGTCACCACCAGCTGTTCCGGCGCTCGTATTGTCAACCATTTGGCGCTACACCTGAAGCCCGATGAGTACGGATTGGCTGCCATTTGTAACGCCGGTGGCGGCGCTTCCGCTGTATTGATCCAAAAGTTATAATACCTGTAATTGTGATCAAATGCTTTTACATTATTATCAATTATTTTAAGTATTATTTTGTCCATTCATTATATAATAAATTATGATTGACAATGAGTTTTATTTTGTTTATTTTTATTTGCATTTCATTTATAAATATTAAACATTGAATACATTTGTTATGTAATAAACAAATCATTGATAACAAACTCAATGATTAGATTTTGCGATTAGTTTCATAAATATGTTTAACAATTAATGGCATAAAAATAGTTAACATTACTTATACTTTGTTTGCACTTAACGTTCAAAAGGCTTACAATTATAACAATTAAAAAACACATACATTTGTAATTCACAAAATAAACCCCAAAATTGCGTTAAAAAATTATATAATTATAATCACATTATAATAATTAAAACTAACCACAAATTCATTACAAAATATATAAATCTATATTTTAAAAAAATACAAAAATGTCATTTAATTGCATAATAAAAATCAGATCCACTATTGAAGCAAAAATTGTTCAACAATTTGATTGAATTCATCGCGAAATTTGATGTGAATATTATGTCTTCCGGTGGGGAACCGATGGATCCGTGCGTGCGGTATACGGCTCAGGAGGTACTTCGGATGCTCGGGTGGCACCAGCGGGTCCTGAACGCCATGAAGTATAAGAGTCGGCTGTTTAATGGCCGCCAAATCTGATTTACAAATGTCGTCGTATTGACAGTAGGCGTCCACAAATCCGGCCCAGAGTTGGCGGAAAACGTGCGGTCCGTACACGTCCTCATAGGCCTGTCGGGCCGACGGATGCCATTTGCTTACGTCCTTTATGTCCAATATTAACTCCTTGTCCTCAGCCGTCAAGTAAGCGTTGGCCCCGAAGACCACCAGTTTCTGGACACTCAGCGGATTCGCGGCCGCAATGATCAATGAAGTGATCCCACCGTCGCTCCAACCCAGCAGTGAGTACTTGTCCACACCTAACGCCTGTGTCCACACACACGAGCGGTTAACAGTATAATACATGGTTAATATTGTGGTAAATTTTGTTAATACTGTATTTATTAATTAATTAAGGATATGTTTAATAATTGTATGCAGTGCTCTTCACATCTCTCTCTCTCTCTCTCTCTCAATAAAATACGAGACATTTAATTGAAAAATAGCTATAATTGTTTATACTTTGATTTCAATTAATGGCCAAAAGGTATACAACTATAACAAACATTTTTAAAATCACAAAAAAGATACCAAAAGAGTGCACCAAAAATTATATTTATAAAAATTAAACCCAAATTTTAATACAAATATTTATTTAAAAAATCATATAAATCTAGAGTATAAATCAGATCCACTATTGAAGCAAAAATTGTTCAACTATTTGATTGAATTGATCGCAAAATTTGATGTGAATATTATGTCTACCGGTGGGGAAGCAATGGCTGCGGGCGTGCGGTATATGCTTCAGGAGGTACTTCGGGTGCTCGGCATCCACGAGCGGATCCATATCGCCGTACAGTAATAGTGTCGGCTGTTTAATGGCCGCCAAATCGGCGGTACAGATATCGTCGTATCGACAATAGGCGGCCACGTATTGAGTCCACAGGCGCTCAAACAGGTGCGCGCCGTACACCTGTTCGTAGGCCTGACGGGCCGTCGGATGCCATTTGTTCACGTCCTGTATCTCCAATAGCATACGCTTGTCCTCAGCAGAGATGTACGACTTGGTGGCGAAGAGCACCACTTTGTGGACACTCAGCGGATTCGCCGCCGCAATGATCTGCGAAGTGATCCCACCGTCGCTCCAACCGAGCAGCGAATACTTGGCCACACCTAACGCCTGGCGCCCCAACACAACCGCACGACCATATAATACATGTTAATATTGTAGTAATTATTGTGTATAGTGTATATCAAGCACACTCTGTGTACATAATTAACACGTTGTAACCAACTTAAAAGTATACTTAAAATTAATTGACCATAAGTTATGGTCCATAACAACAGCATCTGTTACACACCCACACCTCCTAATACACCTTATGTCTAGTAATGCATAATTAACACACCGGTAGTTATCTTAAATAAATTATTGTAATTATGGTAAATAGTAAAAAAAAACCAGACCTTCATGAATTGTGCGGCCACTTTGGCGTCGCGGCGATAAAAGTCATTCCAGTCGCGCTCCGGGGGTCGACTGTAGCCATAACCGGGCGGATCCCACGCTATCAAAGTGAACGCCTCCCGATTCATAGTCTCTAATTGAGCCCCGAAGTCGCTTCGAGTCGACCCTAAAGTATTTAAAAATTGTGTTATAAATTATAATTTATAATTGACAGCTAAATGCCATACCAATAGCGCCGGGAAGTAAGAGTACGGTGTGCTGACCGGTGCCCACCTTTTCATAGTGTATGTTAAACCCATTGACCGCCACTTTTTGGCCCAATTGTTGAGCCAATTGTCGCCGATTTTGTCTGTTTTATTATTGAATGCAAATTACAATTAATGATAATTTAATTAAAAGTTCTCAATTTTTAAACTACAGTCAACTCTCGGTGTTTAATACAGTTTGAGTTAAGAGTGGGAAATGGAAATCAGATGGGAAGGGGTTGGCTGTAAGGGGCAGTGGGG